TTTCTGGAGGAGGCTCTGGACCACCATGATCCCTGCATTAGTCCTACTACTAGGCCTAAGGACCCATAAGCCCCTGGCGTTCCCCTGGAGTCTGTTGAATCGGCTAAGTAACATACGCTGGCCTGTTGTGGTTTGAGATGAAGAGCGAAACCCTAATTCCCGACTCCTTTCAGAGACCAGTGTTGCGGCTTCCGTTTGGGGATGTTTGTCAGCTGCCGCTATGTTTCTTCTTCCATGATACTATACCCCTATACCCTGGCTTGGTATAATGCGTGCTATGGAGGCTCGGGGCTCCCGACGAACCTTTGCAACTACAATCAGCCATTTTCACGAGGCTCCGGACCACCGTAATCCCTGGGATGACCTCTCCCGGCACCTCCTCAGGCCGCCTCTCCGATGCCGGTCTTTGGGACGTTGCTTGCTTGCTTCGACGCTGTCTTGCGAAAGAGCAAGCAAGCAACGACCCAAACACGAGAAGAATGTGCGTGTGTGTAAAAAAAGCCAAGTCTTCAGGAAGATTTTAAGATGTGCCATGGCTGATCAGAGACCAGTCAGTCACCTGTGACTCTGTCCTCATTCGCAGCTCTATTATTGTGAAGTCAGTGAAGCTTCTTGCAATAACGCCATTTTCCGCAGCTGGTGTTTCCGCTGGTACAGTGAGGACGATGTGAGGCGTTCCACCCTTCATAACTTGAGAGGCAGGAATGCCAAGGACGAGTGGCCAGTTCTTGGCCAGGCACATTTCCATATATATAATATATATATATATATATATATATATATATATATTATATGTATAGTATCCATATATTATGCATTTGCCAATCCCTCTGACAAGTTGCCACTTGACCTGTTGAGTCAGGCTCTGAGCCCTCACGCTAGGCGGATCTTGATTAAGCGTTCCCACACACAGGGCATAGAGTGAACTACATCGAGTCAAGTGTATGGTACAAAGATGACTCCACGACTCCGTGACTCTATCTCACTACAACTCTATGACTTTATGACTCATGACCCATGGACTCTATGACTCTTGATTCTGTGACTTTACGATCCTATACACTGACTCTATCTCACTACGACTCTATGACGCTATGTCACTGCAACTCTATGACTTTATGACTCATGACTCATGGACTCTATGACTCTTGATTCTGTGACTTTACGATCCTATACACTGGATCTATCACATAGCCCCACACTCTTCGCTGATGATGCTTTCGGGCCAATTGTCTTCTAGTCTTTTGGTGCTTAACGTTTAGCTCCAGTTCAAGGGTTAGAATTCGGGTCGGGCTTTAGGAGAAACAAAGGCCTATAGGTACTGAACACGGCAATTTTCCGGGGCTCCTATCTTGATGAAGTTTTGCCTGGCACCATTGTGCACTACTGTACAAGGGTCTTCAGCCCGATTCGGAATTCTGCATCGATGTGTCGCATGTCTGCAAGTCATACCTTCGGCAGGAGCTGCCTAAGTTCCCCGACAAATGAATGTCAAATTGGCGGCAAATCAGAATTAATCGGATTCAAGAGTAATGATGCTACGACCAACACCCGAAAACCAGTACGGTGCCTCGCAAATGTCTGTGGCAAGGCATGAAAATTCATCTCCCCCCCCCCGTTGCAGGCTATGCGGCATTGCCCAACCGTGAGGTGAGAGCAAACTCAGCTTCTCGCCTCTGGTGCTGCAGGGGTCAATAGGGATCAGGTTTTTGGGAGAGTTTTCTGTACCGGAAGTCAAGATGAGAAGAGCAATGGCAGTAACGATGGCAACATTTTCGGTGGCAAAAACAAAAAAGTGTAAATTACCGCTGCCAATGCTGCCGCGATTGATAACTTGACGGCCGCTCAATCTTGTAAATCCAGGGGTAAGCGTTTCCCCGAGAGCGTCATCCGTTCTACCCCACGGGGAATGTGAGAGAAGCATGGGTCAGACATCAATCAACTCGCCCATGTCATTGAACTTTGAAATGTCCCCGAAGCCCTTCACGCCAAAGCCTGAATCGCCTGCACCCCTTCACCTGGCCTTGCATGACTTGGTGTCATCCCTGAAGGTCGTAGTGGCGACCACGAAGTGCAAGTTATGGGTCTGAACAGTGGTTCATAGCAATTTATGATGAGGTTTAAAGACTGCAAAGTGTGCTCGGTCGGCGCACCAACCGACAAGATCAACCAGCGACACGGGAACAGCAGGGACTGAGAAGTAGGCGGATAGAGCTGAGCAGCATCAGTACCAGTCGCGGAAGGAGTGGGTGCTCTTGTTTAGAGTTGAGAGGAAGAAGATGTACAGTAGTAGCGCGATTGTCAGCTGCAGTGGACATTTTATTTGGAGGCGTATTTATTTTGGTATTTTTTTTTTTTTTTTTGGCTTGTGTGCGCGCTTGGCTTGGCTTCTCGGCTTCCCTGGCTTCTTGGCTTCTTGGCTTTTCGGCTTCTTGGCTTTTTTCTTCGGCATAGAGAGCCTCATAAATCAGTCCTTAAGTCACGCCCTCAACCCTAAGCCGAGCCGAGGCGAATTTAGGTCAGTAAAGCGGGATAGAAGTTAAAAAAAAAATAAGGATCAAAAAAAATTAAATAAGGATCAAAAAAAATTAAACGGGTATCCGCGAAAGGAAAGGGAAAAAGGAACGAAAGACAGAGAGAGAGAGAGAGAGAGAAGGGTTTCCAAATACCTGGGGGATCGTACGTGTCGCAATGCATTGTGTTATCGTACTTTTACTGTTGCCCTCTGTAAACTGATCCACCAGGGGGATAAACAACCACGTAACCTTTTCACACTCCTCCAAAGTCCCCACAAAATTTGGGGGGGCCCTAGTGGCCGAGGGGTCTTAACAACCCCTCATGCCCGGCGGAAGAAGAGAGAGAAGGAAAGAAAGAAAGAACGAAAGAAAGGAAGGAAGAAAGAAAGCAAGGAAGAAAGAAAGAAAGAACGAAAGAAAGAACGAAATAAAGAAATAAAGAAACAACGAAATAAAGAAAGAACAAAAGAAAGAAATAAAGAAACAACGAAAGAAAGAAAGAAAGAAAGCCATGCAAGAAACAGAGAAATAAGTAAATAAAGAAAGCTATAAGTAAATAAAGAAAACAAAAATAGAGAACTAAGTAAAGAAAGAAAGCTACAAGGAAAGAAAAAAGAAAACACAAGGAAAGAACCAAAGAGAGTTGACAACTTAGAGAAATACCACGGAATCCGTAGGAAAATCGTGTTTTCCCCAAGAAAAACCCAGCAAATCCTTAGGAAACGAAAGAAAATCACTAGGAAAGCAGTGTTTTCCCTTGAAAAATTTAAGAATTGCTGTATCTAAAAAGCAAGAAAGAAAGACAGAAAGAAAAAAAAACGAGAGAGAGAACGAAAGAACGAAAGCAAAAACAAGAGGAAGAACGAAAGCAAGAACTAAAGAAAGAAACTTAAGGAAATACCACGGAATCCGTAGGAAAATCGTGTTTTCCCGAACCAAAAACCAAGCAAATCCTCAGGAAATGAAAACGAATCCGTATGAAAACAGTGTTTCCCCTGGGAAAAATTCAAGAATTGCTGTATCTAAAGAGGACGAAAACAAGGAAAACAGAAAGAAAGAAAGATAGAACGAGAGAGAGAACGAAAGAACGAAAGCAAAAACGAAAGAAAGAACGAAAGCAAGAACGAAAGAAAGAACGAACCAAAGAAAGAACGAAATAAATCAAACCAGAAAGGAAAGCAAGAAAGAAAGGAAGGGAGTATGAGATGAACAAAGAAAGAACAACAGAAAGAAAGAAAATAAATGAACGAGCGAAAGAAAGAAAGAAGTCCAGAATAAAAAAGCAAAGTTGGAAAATACGAAAGAGAAAGAATATGAAAAAAATCACAGAAACAAAGATACAAGCAACAGGATACTACATAGCCCAATCGAATTTACCATAATATCGTAATGTACCGTAACATAATATAACATAATGTAAATGTAACCTTTCAAATATATTACATATTATGTTGTAAATATACACACTGTACTGTACTATGTTACAATGTACTACACTATAAACTAAGATGTTGTTTTGTTCTATGTCATCTTCTGTTATATTGTATTGTTGTATTTTTAGTATGCTATTATATGCTATAAGAAGCAAGGTTCTGTCATGTCAGAAAATGTCACACCATTTTTGTGTTGTCGAACCATCTTATGTCGTTCTTCTGGTTTACTATGTTATATATATTAGGTTAGAATGCTAACGGAAGAAGAGACACGAACAGGCACGGAAGAACAAAACACCCGCCGCCGCGCTTTTCGAGACGTGCAAGCTTGATTCAAAGAGTGTTTTCGAAGCCCATCATGTGAACGTTGTCTCTGCAAATGGGGGGGGCTGCGCCCCCCCCAACCCCCCCGCTGTTTTAAGCCGTGCAGGGTTTCTTTGATTCATATGCCTTTTTTTGAAACCCAGCAAATGAGGGCATTAGGGGTACCTTATTTTGGGCGCCTCGCAATAAGGATCCTACTATTTTATGGGTACTATGAGGGTCCCCTATTTTCGACAACTATTACTATTACTTTTACTCTTCCTATTGCGATTGCTATTGCTATATTACTATTGCTATCGCTTTTGCTATTGCTATTGCTATTACTATTACTATTGCTCTTGCTGTTGCTATTGCCGTTGCTGTTGTTATTGCTGATTGCTACTACTTTTACTCTCACTGCTACTATTACTCTTACTGTTGAAATCCTGGAGCTGGCGTATGGAAAGTAATTAGAGTGATGTGCGAGCTTGTAAATGCATGTTTTTGATGTGTTCCGCAGGGAAGGCTGCGGAAAGAAAGCCCTTGGGTCATGCGACAATGCCATGATCGGCAGAAGCCAGCAAAGCATAAGCTTCGCAAACTTGACTACCAGAGCCTAATCTGAACGAATACAAATGTATGTTCGCAGAAGGCTTTAACGTTTGTGTTGTGAGAAAAAGACTGTGCGATTCGAGCGGGTCGTGCCATGGCTATGCAGGCTGAGGACGTAAACCCCGTTCCTCAGGTTATGAGCGCCCAAGCTGGTGCTGCGCAACCGCAACAGAATGGTGTTCCTGGACCTTCGGTGCAGACGGAGGAGGAAACCGGAGCGGAGCGGCCGGGTCCATCTTTGTCAGGTGGATCCGACCCTTCGCAGATGAGACAAAAGGCAGCGGCGGAAAGTGAAAAAGGAGATGGAGACGCGAGAGGCGCGCCTGGTCCGTCTTCCACAAGTGCCGCGGCTGCTCAGTGTGCAGGTGATGTGCAAGAAGCGGAAGGTGCACCGTCTGGTGTGGCTGGAGACCAGGGAATGCAGACCCGTGCAGACATGTCCGACCAAGTGGGACCGAGCAGGGTGATGTCAGCTGGGACCCAGAACATGCAGACGGGCGTGGACCTCCGGAGTACTGCAGCTACAGATATTGGAGCAGGAGCGTATCATACTCCGAGATCTTCGAGATCTGTGTTTAGCAGTGTGCATGGAATGAGGCCTAACCAGCCTGGGATGTGGCCGGGTTGGGTTACGCGCTTGGGAGAAATGTTCAAAGCACCGCCGGTGCAGTGGTTGCCGAGTCCTCTACCTTCTCCCCCACGACCGAGGGCAGCCACGGAGATGTCAGCGACGTCGCAAGCCAATGCTGTTAGTGCCTCCTCTTTGATGGGACCTTGGCAAAATGTGGCTAGTGATGAGACTAGGGGCTTAGGAGGTTTAGGACCTAGGCAGCACTATACCCCCAGCAGCAGCAGCATACCAGCAGAAGCGATACAGGCGGAGGTTCAACGCCAACTTGGCAGCCTGCTAGACCGTCTTCAGCAGGCGGAAGCGGAGAACCATCGTCTCCAAGATCAGCTTCATCGAGCGCAGGTAGGGCAAGCTCAGAGGGGATATGTAGAAGAGTTACCGCAAGGCGCTAGCAACCAGGGAGTACCTGTGCAAGATGTTCAAAGTGGGGCACCTCGTGACGATGTTCCTCAGGGTTATCCAGATGTGCTACCTGGGAATGATGCAGTACCTAGAGGGGATCCAGCTGAAAATGAACCCGGGCGGCCTAACCCCTGGAGGGATCCTTTGGGAGCGCTGTGGGAGGAACTAACTTCAGGAAGAACTAGAGCCACCGACCTTACGAGGACTCAGGGCCCTATTCGAGCTGAAGAAAACAGGGAATTGCCAGCTACGACATCGTCAACTACAGCGATTTTGGAAGCTCTCACTAAGAATCTTGCGGGACTACAAGCACTACAAGAGAAAACTATGAAGAAAGAGCTAGATAACGACGATGTGCCGGAGCAAGTGAAAAGCAACCCTATAGCACTACCAGCACTTCCGAGCCCAGAAGGAGCGTCAATGGGTATCCTACTACAAGACTGGTTGGCTCAGGTGTCGGTTCCCATGCAAGACTTGTCATCGTCTTCAGGGACATGGTGGTCGCAGGTGCTTGAGCTTGTGCAGTCCACATACACTACGTGGTTAGCATCTTCGCCTTTGGAGAGACTGCAACTGGAGCCAAAAGACTACGCTGCATTGACAACTGGAAAATGGACAAGGGTTAACGCGAGAGCCTGCACTCTTATACTTCAGAGCCTCCCGGAAAGTGTCAAGATGGACCTCATCTCGCGGAGGGTTGTGCAAAGCTCCCCACTGGTCCTTTTCCGATTGCACACGACCTATCAACCTGGAGGGGCTTCAGAGCGATCTACGGTTTTGGGAAACTTACAGAACGCTGCACAGTTTGAAACCATGGAGGAGTGCCTAGTCTGGTTGAGGGCGTGGCCTAGATGGATTCAGCGTTGCAAGGACCTGAGAATGATGGTTCCAGACGGCTCGGTGTTGTCAAGAGCTTTGACCAGTACGACATCGCGGTTTGTGTCTGAGAACCCGGACGTGCTGTTCAGAACACAACTACTTCGGTCGAGTTTGAGAATAGACTCACAGCCATCTCAGTCTGATGTTGCTCGCTATCATCAACTACTACAAGCAGAGCTGGAAGGACTGGTCGCAGCTAAGCCCGGAGCTCCAAGTGCTATCCCTAAAGTAAAGAGTCTGGCGACCGCTACTACATCCACCCCCACTTCGCCTACCTCTACGGGACAAGGGCAAGGTTCTGCAGGGACTGGAAAGGGCTTGTGCAAGTACTTCTTTCGCCCATCTGGTTGCCGAAGGGCGTCGCGATGCCCATACAGCCATGATATGTCCCATCTATCCAAGGTCGAGCGCTCCAAGCGATGCCTTCAATGCGGAGGTGAAGATCACAGACAAAAGGACTGCCCTACGAAAACCAATAAGCCAGGACCCCGCACAGCGCAGCAGGGAGATGGAGGGCTACCGTCGCCAGGCAATCGTGCAACCCCTAAGGTTCAAGCCTGTGAGCCGGAAGGTGAAACTTCCCCTTCGTCTACAGCGGCTCCGCGCGTGGTCTCGGGCGAACCTGTCTGGACTCTGGAAACACTGCTGCAAGCGGCTGCTAAGGTAGCAGGTGCAAAACCTCCGGATGGCCCGTCACTCAACGTGATCTCGGTGCGATCGACTTGTACCATGCAGGGGCAAAACCAAGCATTTGCCTTAGTGGACTCTGGAGCCACTCACGCACTGAGGAGGGCAAGATCGCAGGAGGAGTGGGACCAGTCAAGTCCAGTCATAGTGAACCTTGCAGGTGGTGAATCAGTGAGCTTGCGAATGAACTCAGCAAGTACAATACTGGTTCCCATGGCCTCGGATGCGTCTACGGGCACTTCAACTCCTATCGTCCCGTTGGGGGCGTTGGTAGGGCAACTTGGGTATACTATGACGTGGAGCAGCAACCGGTGCAGGCTGGAAGGGCGAGCCGGAGATGTGTACAATTTGCGTGTTCGTGAAGGTTGCCCAGAGATAGCAGAGCATGATGCGTTGCGCCTTATAGCCCGACTAGAAGATGAAAACTTGGCTTTGCTCAAGGCAAATACTGGGGAAACAAGGAAGAGAGTCAAAGCAGCTGCTCTCTCCATGCAGCGGACCTGGTTCGACTACTTGTTGTCGTATGTGGACGGTGAGATGAGTTCGGAGGCGTTGAAAGCAATAGAGTCAGCACCGTTCTTGCGAGAGGTCCCGGCTCCCTGCAAGGCTGGATTGGTGGAGACAATGCCAGAAGACAATGGGTGGAGGGCGCTTAGGGGACTAGAGCACCTAAACCGGAGATCCAGGAAGAGGTTGTGGAGTTCGGACAAGTGGGTTGTGCATTTGTTCTGCGGAAAGAAGGAGAAAAAGGACCTGCACCACTTGGAGGCCCACGGTTACACGATCCTGGAGCTCGACATCGAAAGAGGCCGCACCCACGACCTTCTTAGAAGCACTACGTGGAGGGCCTTGGAGTTCGCCGCTCGGAAGGGAAAGTTGGCAGCTATCATAGGTGGTCCTCCCCAAAGCTCGTTCATGATTTCGAGACATGTGGTTGGTGGTCCAGAACCTGTTCGCTCCAATGAGTTCCTGTTTGGAAACTGGGAGGGACAATCTGATGCAGACGTGTGGCTCGTCAACAGGGAGACACAACTGCTGACACGGATGATCTACCTGCATGCTCTTGCTTCAGCGGGGAGGATTCGAGCTGTTCCAGCGCCGGATGCCAAGCGAGAAGTGGCCTTGTTGCTAGAGCACCCTCGTGATCCACGTGGCTACTTGAAGTTCCAGGACCCCCTGTACGGTGATGTTGTGAGCTTTTGGCGAACTTCGTTGTGGTTGGAGTATGCGTTGGAGGCGGGACTCAACACGTATAGCTTCGATATGGCAGCGTATGGCAAGGCGTTCTCCAGACATACGACTATAGGGACGAACTTGGCTATGAAGCACATAAATGGGCTGCGGGCGAGATGGCATACAGATGGACCTGCAACAGAGCGCTCCCCACCTAGTGTTTGGACCACAGAATTCTATGAGCAGGTCGTCATTGCACTACGTCACTGGGGTACAGTACCCAGAATGGTCAAGATGAGCGCAGATCAGTGGAGAGAACACGTGCGCCGAGGCCATCTGCCCTATAGGGCAGACTGCACGGTTTGTGTGCAGGCGGGGGCCACTGGGCGACGGCATGCGCGCATTGAGCACCCCAATGCTTATGTGCTCTCGGCAGACCTCGCCGGTCCAGTAAAGGTGGGCGGCCTTGACCCAGATGCTCGAGGAGCGTTTCCGAGGTTGTTCAAGTACATCTTTGTGGCGAAGCTACGCGTGCCAAAGACCTATGTCGAGGACGGGCGTGGAGCATGGGTAGAATACGATGGAGGAGAGCTACCTGAAGATCAGTATGAGCATGCGGACGACGGCTTGGAGGTAGAGAAAAAGGCAGCTAAGGAAGATGTTCGTGCTGTAGTACCACCAGAAGAAGATGACCCAGATCCTGATCAGGAGCCGAAGAAGAAGAGCGACTTCGAGGAGGACCTTGATTTAGCGGCACCCGAGATGGTGAACCTCATGTTTTCAGTGGGACTGAAGGACGACAAAGCGCCAACAGTGCTTGAAGCTATTCAGGATGTGGTGTTGTACTGCCAGTCGCTCAATATCCCGGTGTTACGCTTCCACTCGGACCGTGGCATGGAGTTTCAAGCAAGGGCCTCCAAGCAATGGCTAAAAAACCAAGGGATCAGAGTGACGGCATCGGAGGCGGGCGCGCACCAAACGAATGGTTCTGCAGAGGCGACTGTGCGATGGGTGAAGCAGAGAGCCCGCACTCTTCTGCTGGCTGCGAAGTTACCTCAGAGATTGTGGCCGATGGCGGTGTCCACAGCGGCTACAATGCAGAGAGCAGATGTGCTGGGGTTTGAGCCGCTCCTCGCAGCTCCTTTCGGGGCCAACGTCATCGTGAGGAAAAGACAAATGGAAGGGCCTAAGCTCGATGATCTGGCGCCTAAGTGGTTGAAGGGGACGTACTTGGGAAAGTCGGAAAGTTTGCACAAGGGCCATTTGGTCTACATCAATGATGGTGATGGCGAGAAGTTTGTGCACACTCTACATGTTCGCGCAGCTCTGCATGATCCTGGTCCAGTAGAAGAAGAGCTAGTGGCTGAAGAGCCTGAAACTCCTAGCAGGCGAGTGCGAGGAAAGTCAAGTGGTAGCGGTGATGTGGTAGAAATCTCTAAGGCTGAGATTCTTGACGAAGAAAGCTACAAAGCCAGAGCAGAAGCTGTGATGGAGCATTGGTCCCAGGAGGAGGCGGAGTCGATTGTCAGGGAACTGGCGGCAGCGCTACCTTCCACGGACAATGTATACGGGATGTTCCGTTTTGGGGGAAAGACAGGAGTAACGAGGGCAACTATGGAGAGACCGTGGTTCACGAAGTTGCTGCTGAAGCTCCTCTTGGATAAGGCCCCGGACGCTGAGTTTGCAGCTATGTTTGTGTCGGTTAGAAACGACAGAGAAGTCCATATTGACCGCAACAACGCTATGGGAACACTGAACTACCTCCTCCCTATTGTGATGCCTAAGAGAGGTGGCGATATTTGGCAAGAGCTACGGGAAGGTGATGTGGTTCAAGGAAAGGTTGTGGAGCTTGATGCCCCCGATGGGAAGAAGCGTTTTGGTTGCACATATCCTCTCCAAGAAGGGCGAGTGTTTCAGCTGAATCCACATCGACGTCATGCGGTACTTCCTTGGACTGGTGAAAGATTGGTGATCGTTGGTTATACCCCCGGGATGCTGAGAAACCTAACGGCGAGTGATCGGGAGCGATTGTGGTCTTTGGGGTTTCCTATGCCGTTGTTTGATGAGGTCACGGGGTATGTAGCGAGCATCAACGCCTTCTCGGTGAAGCAGCTGAACTATAAGCACGGGATCGTCGAGAACTATGTCGACGAGACGCTATTACCTACTGCGCGCTTCTCTCGTGCTCAGGCGGAGCCAGATGCAGTGGAGCAATCGAGTGATCGGTGCAAAAGCGAAGAATGGGAGCAGTGGGAAATGCGCTTAGTGCTGAGCGAGAGCGGCGGTGATGTAGCGTTGGCCCAGAGCGATGAAGCAGACTCAGTTTGTCTCAGGAAAGCGGAGGTCACCTACACGGATGGTGTTGAGGAGATCTTGCAGCAGTTAGATGGACCGCTGAGTATAGTTCATACTGTTCATCCTCGTGAAGTCGCCGCGAACTACGAGGCATGGATCCCGGCGCTTAAGAAGGAGGTCGCTACGCTTTCCCATGCTGTGGAGAAGACCTGGGCAAATGATGCGCAGGTCCAGGAGGAGATGTCGTCAGGGAGGGCGCAGGTGATCCCAATGAAAATAGTGTTTACGGTGAAGCCCCCAGATGCACCACTGCCCGGTGAGTCCGTCGAGCAGTTCTACAAACGAAAAGCGCGGATAGTGGTTTGTGGAAACTTGGCATCTCATGAGCCAGGAGATGTATACACCAACACAGCGCCGGCAGAGATAGTAAGGGCGGCGTTGGCTATTTCAAGGGTGAAGAAGTGGAACCTTGGAATTCTGGATGTCATTGCGGCGTTTCTGCAAACTCCTTTTTCGGAGCTGGTTGGAGCACCTTTGGTGTATGGCATTCCTCCGAAGCTTTTGGAAAGAGTAGGACTGTGCCAGCGGGGTGAACTTTGGCGGCTTACACATGCAGTCTACGGGTTGCAAGAGTCGCCGCGACTTTGGGGCCGTTACAGGGACCAACAGCTAGCAAGGATTCAGCTTATCTACGAGGGCAAGACAGTAACGCTGTTGCAGGGCCGAGTAGAACCCTCATGGTGGTCTATTTTACATGAAGGGTCAGTCTTGATCGGCATTGTCGTGATCTATGTTGATGATGTTCTTATTTGTGGTTTGACCGGCATCATCAAGGAAGTTGCTCGAGCGATCAAGGCTATCTGGAAAACAAACGACCTCCAGCTCGTGTCCGATGGCACAATAAGGTTTCTGGGGATAGAGATATCTATGTGTTCCCAGGGCTTTGCGCTGTCGCAGCGTTCCTACATTGAGGAGCTGATCCGCGTGCACAATGTGGCCCCGACAAGACGAGATGTGATACCGCTAGCTAAGGACCTTGCTACTTTTGCCACCGAGGCAGAAGAGGGCGACTACACGGAGATCGAGCTCAAGGCGGCTCAACAATGCGCTGGTGAGCTACTTTGGATATCTCAAAGAACACGGCCGGATTTGAGCTTCGTTGCGTCATTGGTTGGCTCATTGTCTACGAAGGCGCCAAGGAGAGCAGTTCAAATAGCTGAGAAGACTATTGGGTTTTTGCAGCGCACAATAGATTGGGCACTGGTTTTTGAGTGTGAAGGAAAGGGCCTCACTGCATTCTGCGACGCGAGCTTTGCTCCGGAAGGAGCTCGGAGCCACAGTGGCTGGTTGGTGATGTACTGTGGCTGTGTGATCGCATGGAAAAGTTCAAGGCAGAGTACAATCACCATCAGTACAGCAGAAGCAGAACTAACAGCCCTTTCAGAAGCAGTGCTGGCGTTGCAGAGTGTGTCTTCTATGCTGTCGGATGTTCTTTCCGAGCCGGGAGCAATGCAGCTTTTCTCGGATTCAACTTCGGCGTTGTCAATTGCCAATGGGTCTGGGAGTTGGAGGACAAGGCACCTGAGATTGCGGAGCGCATGGGTGGCAGAGTTGGTGGCATCGGGAATAGTTGAGATTACCCATTGCGCAGGTGATCTACAGTTGGCAGATCTACTCACCAAAGCGCTCCCGTCACAGCGCATTGGTACTTTGAGTAAGTTGATGAACCTCCGGAATCCGGAAAATGACGACGAGGGTGAGATCAAGATCACCTACAACAAAAGCCCAAGCAGAATCAACCGCGCGGCAGCAGCCCCTAAGAACCCTAAGGTTTTAATTGCCCTACTAGTCTTATCGCAAGCCACGATTGGAGCTACGCAGAGCTGGGATGAAGAAGAAGGGCTGGTAGTGCGATCTGGCATGAGCATCGACTACGGAATCATAACCTGGGCTATTTTGTGGGGAGCAGTTATTGTGGCACTGCTTTCTTGGGAGCTGTTGAAGTGGTTGTTGTGGCTAGCGTATGACAAGGTGACGCCAGGCTCACGAGCGAGGAGATTGCGACGGCTACAGAAGTTGCGAGATGCGACTACTACAGCGATCCAGAGGGAGATTCAGACTCGACAAGGAAGCCGTTCCGAGCAGCGTGGACGTGATTCAGGTCTGGTTCCGGAAAATCAGACAGCTAATCCTCCAAGGGATAGTTCGTCTACGATACAAAGCTCAGCGGCTTCGTCGGGGCAGGACAAGTATGCGGAGGAAAGAATGCAGTTGCTAAGGAAGCTGGCTAAAGGGGTGAAGGAAACGCATGAAGTGGGCTGTCAAGCTGGCGCGTTTACTCCTATGCCGGCACCGCAAACACGAGTGATCCTTCGCTATGTTCATGAACCCCCTGGAGAAGCATATGTACTGCCGGGAAATGATTGCTATCATGTATATTCTGACTGCCATGCTTTTCGCCATAGAGGGACTGCAGACCGGGTTGAAAGAAGAAGGTTGTGTTTGTACTGCCTACATCGTGCCGAAGAGGACCCGGATAAGACTGCCAACTATGGGGAAGATCTGGCGAGGGCTCAAGAGTATGAGAGAATATTCAATACGCAGCTGCAGGTGTCAGGGCAACCAAACCAGCGGTGAGCGACCCTGACGGATTGCTCAAGGAGGAGTGTTGAAATCCTGGAGCTGGCGTATGGAAAGTAATTAGAGTGATGTGCGAGCTTGTAAATGCATGTTTTTGATGTGTTCCGCAGGGAAGGCTGCGGAAAGAAAGCCCTTGGGTCATGCGACAATGCCATGATCGGCAGAAGCCAGCAAAGCATAAGCTTCGCAAACTTGACTACCAGAGCCTAATCTGAACGAATACAAATGTATGTTCGCAGAAGGCTTTAACGTTTGTGTTGTGAGAAAAAGACTGTGCGATTCGAGCGGGTCGTGCCATGGCTATGCAGGCTGAGGACGTAAACCCCGTTCCTCACTTACTCTTACTCTTACTATTGCTGTTGCTGTTGCTATTGCCATTACTACGACTACTACTACTACTACTACTACTACTAGTGCTACTACTACTACTACTACTACTACTACTGCTACTACTAGTACTACCACTACTACTACTACTACTACTACTACTACTACTACTACTGCTGCTACTGCTACTGCGACTGCTACTGCGACTGGTGCTACAACTACAACTACTACTACTACTACTACTTCTACTACTAGGGGTCTTGTTGGGTTTAGAGCTAGGCGGCATTTGAGGTTTTCGGATGTAGGACTTGTTCTGTGGGCCTAGAGTGGGCGCGGAAAATGTTTGGGTTTGGGGTTCAGGGTTTAGGGTATGGGGTGTAGGGTTTAGTGCAAAGAGTTTAGGGTTTAAATTTAGGGTTTCGGCTTAGGGTGCTGACAGGGGCCACAAGACTTAACACGACAGGGGCAGCAATAGCAACATGAGAAGCAAACGTAGGAGCAATCCATGGTATCAGAACTGAGCACGCAGCACCATACACAGGTTCGATTTCAAAACCCTGAGTTTAAAACCCAATCCCAACGCCCCAAACCCTCAGCTGTAAATCTGCAGGCTCAGAAAGGAACCCCCACGATCTTCGGTGCCCTGCAAGGCAATGCAACACGGCCAAGCAAACCACACAAAAAAAAAATGCCCCCCCCAAAAAAAAAGATCCCAAACTAATTCCAGACCCATTTTATTTTTGTAACTGGTGATTACAGCAAAGATGAGTAAACCAGCCTTTGCTGGGTGTTGTTGTTCTTCTGGTTGCCGTGGCTGGCAATCGGCAGAGATGTTACTCGCAACATAGATAGGTGCAGTTTGCACGACTACGAGCGCCTTGATGATCCTTGAGGTGATGTTGGTCGTTGCGCTTCTGTTGCTGCTGCCGTGATTGCATGCGCTTCCCAGGCCGGCAGCGTCGCAAACAGCGATGCGGAAGCGCCAGGGAATATGCGCCGTTGAGATTGCACCCAGCATGGAGTTCAGGGCTGGTGCGCCAACTAACCAGTTGAATAACTGGTGCGATCCACTCCTGGTTCATGTTGCGAGAGGAAGGAACGCAGCAGGCGCAGGTCTGTGAACGGCTTGGCCTGTGTGGGGTGTCTTCGTACCTGCGTATGCATCCAAGAGGGCCGATGCAGATGGTAAGCGCGACTTGCTCTGCAGTGCCTGTACAGCACATTTGGCGTCTACAGCACTACAGTGTATTCCAGAAAGCTGGTTGTGGATGTCATCTGAATTAATTAAATCGCATCTCTGCCCCATCTGCACCGCACGCCGTAAACCATTCCAAGCTTTAGCCTGAGATGCATATACTTTTACCTGATTGAATATCTTTTCTGAGGCTACCGGGACACTGTCCGGATGGATAAATCCGCGGAAATGGGCATCTCTTTGGTGGAGCCTCCCAACTAAAGCTAAAGTATTTGGCAGGATTGCTCAGTCAGTTGGTTTGGGTTTTGATTGCTTGTGAAGATGGCAGGCAAGCGTTCGAAGGTGCTGCTGCGGCCATTGCAATTTATGCTACCGTTCTTGGCTGGCCTGTTTCTTGTCATATCGTGTGAAGACATGGGGCTGTTAGTTCTAAGTAATTTGGTTTTCCGATTCAGGTGCCATTTCATCTCTGCACCCATCAACTAGTGACTAGGAAGACATCGTCCTGGATTTAGAGGCCCACTATACTAGTACCTACAGTAAGGAACCCCCAAACTAGTATAGGTAATTATTAGACCATGGTCGGGGCCATCCCTAAACTGCTCCCAGGTATCGGCAGAAGATGGCCAGCGCCAAGTTGGTTGGAGCTCTGGTCTACATGGACATGGGCAGAGTCAATGTGGACGCTCGGAGCTGTTTATGGGAGCTAGGAAGCTGGGGCCCGTTAATTCAGGCTTCTACAGGGGTTTACAGGGTTGCAAATTTGTTGATTGTTCGATAAGGTTGTTTCTGAAAGGATGATCCTATGGCATAATGTTGGGCTTCCGTGGCTGTTTCTGGAGAAATGGGACTTGTTTTGATAGGGGCTGACGAAGCTTTTCGACCCTTCACGTGTTATGTCCGGTAGCTCTCAGCCAGGCCTTCGGGCTAAGCTTGCTGAGGCCGTTTGCCGCATGCATCTTCTTGCAATTGAAGCAGCTACACACTGCCACAGGGCACGAGTCTAGACTCTAAACCGGCGCTGTAGCATCGGAGCCTAAATGATGGGCACCACTACTTCGTTGATTTCCCCTGCAAACTCTGTTCGAGTGCTGCTTGGCCCAAGTTTGGAAGCAGACTGACAGGATCTCGGGAGGCGAGGCATGATGACTGAACCGAAAAGTTCTCTAACCCACATGCAGTAGCAGGCGCCGCTGTTACTGTTACTGTTTCTTTAGCATTGGGAATGGCCGCGATCTGTGCTGCAGGGGTCCTGATCAGACATACAGCATGCCTGCGGTTGTAATCTGAACGGATCGCAAGCCCCCAAACTGAACCCCATAAACCATCAGCAAGCATGTTCAAATCCTCGAAGTTTGCCAAGGAGCCAAGCTCCGTGTGACCTCGTTCATGGATTGGGACTCTTGTGGAAGACTGTTGCTGCCCTGACGGTTCGGGGTTTGGGTTTTACTTGCCTGTATGATTGTTGTTATGGTGTCATCTTGCGATGGCAGCATGGCTGTTCGTCTTCTTTTTCTTGCTACTCCGTCATAGTCATCAGGCATCAGGAAACGCGCCTCTCACGGAGGATTCAAGGTCTGGGGCTTCGGCCAGGGGTTGAGTGTTTACTGAGGTTCGGGGCAGAGCTTCGTGAACGGATGGCGGGGATCCGACTTTGGAAGCCTCTTCGGATTTAGGGTTCAGTCCTGTTGCTCCTGCTGGGAACTCCGGACACCAGGGCCAAAGGCTTTGAAGACTTTCGAGTGGTATTGCCTTTCGGAGCATGTGAGAGCCCTGGACCCCTCTGCTTGTGGCTTGGATTGCTTCTAGGGCCTCATGTCCCTAGAGTTTCGCGAATCTCTCGTTCATGTCTGCGCTCCTTCGCAAGAAACATAACATGCCTGAAGTCTCCTCAGGCCCCTAAGCCCCTATAGAGCCTAAAACCCTGAACCTTAGACCCTGTACAAGAAGCAACTGGGCACAGGTACGGTGCGGCTATTCTGATGCCACAGGCGCACCCCATGTTCATGGCATAAGTTAGGTACAGTCGAGTCATGCAAGGCAGCTACTTGTAACGCTTTGCTTCTAGGCCAGTCTTGAACATCCCATTCTACTTTGGTATAGTACATGCTCAACGAGGAACGGGAGCCACAATGTAATGAGGGCCTTTGAGAAAAGCTTAAGGCCTAGAATCGAACAAACCAACCTTGACTTGTTTTGTCAGGGCTTAAGGTTTGGGTGAGTTGCAAACCTTGGCAATTAGAGCAAAGGCCCTGTTCCCTCGTAGCCCCCGTGCCTTACAAATAGGACCCCAAGCACGCATCATGGAACCAGGCATTCATACCTCGACGCCACGAAGCACGTATGTATTCAGTCTCTTGTAACCTTCCGGCTTCACTGAGGGATATCCGAGGTTCTTCCTTCCACGGGCTTGGGGTGGCCAAACCCAAACCCGACACCACCCTCCACCCCAAAAGCCTTAACTCTGAAGCCTGTATTGGAAGTCTCAGCCGGCTTTGCAGGTAGCAAGGACGGCGGGATGGCCACGGTCAATGGCAAGACCTGTCGCTTGGTCGTGTTTGGGATTTGGTGCTTTAAGGGGTGAGGGTCTTTTGTGAATAAAAAAGTTCGAGAAGGCCAACATACCGCCAACATCATGTCAACTTTGCTGCACTTTCACGACTGGAAACCGTCTGCTGCTCCAGGGGTTTCTCTTAATGAACCTATGACCCGTAACCTATCCTCAACCCTATGAAGCCTTAGCCCTAGAGGCTTCCTCCGCCATCCTTGCAGGTCCTCCAGAGCTACTTCTACCTCTACGTTTGCATGCTCATTCATGGCGCCTTGCAACTGGGACCCGTTTGGCTGAAGCAGAGGTTTCCAGGGGCTTCGCAGCTTTGCTTTTGGGACCTTCAGTGCTTCCTAGACGGGACTCGACACCCGTAAACCCTGAAGCCCCTCTGCTCTGAAAATGTGTGACACTCTACACCTCCGTAGTTGCCTACTCAATTGCAAGCGGGTGCCGCGCTCGTCCAGAGGATACAAAGCCTCTTCCCCAAGAGCCAAAAAAGAGCCCACGGTAACCTGACAGTAACCACTTGAGGCTCTGCTATATCCGAAAGGAGCAGGCAGTGATGGACTTATTCGCAGGACGCTGTGCTGGGTTTAAGGTCTAGGACATCGCTTTCCTTCGTCCGAGGATGGTCAGGCTTCTCTTTTCGTAACACGATTATCAGCCAAAAACAAGGTTGATTATTGCGTGAACCTAAACCCACACTGAAACAACACATCATACTACAAAAACATCCAACCGACAAGGAATGAGGGCCCAATGCTTCAAGCAGCTAAAGACAGACGCACGGAGACCTAGTTTTTTGAGGTTGAGGGTTGCGCATACGAGGTTGGGCTTCCATTATGGAATCTCCTGAGTGTATACAGGGCTCCTTAGAAACAATAGGAAGTGCAGTGTTATGATTGGGAGACTCGCAACAGAAAT